GCCCTTTTCCAGTTTTCCTTTCAAAACAAATGAAAGTGTCCTGTCTCTCTGGTGAGCTCACATATACTGTAGCAAAAATAAACAGACAAACCAAAAACAAACAAACAAAAAGACATAACCAAATTAATCATATGAAAATATTTTTAAATAATATGAAGAGGAAGATGCTGCAACCCTATCGTTTTACCACTTAAATATTATTTAAATCTGTCCCATCATCTCTCTCTCCCCAAGCTGAGCCTTCAGATGAAACCATGGCTCTGACCACAGCTTGACTGTAACCTGATGAGGTAATTTGACAGAAACTCTCTCCTTGGGACCAGCAGAAGGTGTAATGGTTATGTGGTTTAAAACACGCTAGGTGCGTGTGTGTGCGTGCCCAAAATCCCAAGAGAAGAATAGAGATGGAGGGATTGCAGCATAACCATCCCTCCAGGGGATAATTTCTCACTTTCCTGTCTCTGTGTCTCTGATGAGCGCATGCGTCCTATAGCAAAAATTCTCAAAAATAAAACAAAACAAAACAAAACAAAAAACAAAAAAACCTCACATCAGGTGCAAGTGCATGGTGCTCAAAAACCTGAGAGGACACCAGAGGAGAAGGGATTGTAGCATGACCATCCCCGCTGGGGTGTGATTTTCTCACTTTCTGTCTCTGTCTCTCTGGAGAGCACATGGGCCCTATAGCAAAAATCTCTCCAAAAAAAAAAAAAAAAAAAGAAAAGAAACTTTCTACTTGTCCAAACTTTAATCAGGCTCCTCTAAATCTTCTTCTAGGCTAAAGCCTGACCTTGGGCCTGCCTACTCCAGTTTTCCTAAGAATTCTGCTAAGTGGATCCACCCACCCTTTAATATCTGATCACTCTAGCTTACCCTCAGCAAGAATTCTGTTAAATCGATGTAGTAAGACTCTTCCTACTCTTTTTTTTTTTTTTTTTTTTTTTTTTTTTTTTTTTCTCTACAGAGGCCTTTGTACTTATCAGAGAGAAAGCACCCTCCTGCGGGAAGATGGCTACCCCATAATCCCCTCTCCTCCATTCTCCTCTTGGGATTTTGGGCTCACGTGTACACATGCCTGGTGTGTTTTTCAGGATGCTGTCAGGATGGAATTGGCTATGTGGGATCCAGCATATTTTTTTTTTTAAGAGATTTTTTTTTCTATAGGGCATCAGCGCTCACTGGAGAGAGAGAGAGACAAAGTGAGAAATCTCACACACACACACACACACACACACACACACACACTCCCCAGGAGGGATGGCCATGCTGCAATCCCTTTTCCTCCACTCTCTTCTCATGATTTCAAGCTGGGGGAGGGGGAGCAAGACACACACACACACACACACACACACACACACACACGCGCGCGCTAGCCTAAGTTTCAAGCCACCAGTCTGTCACTTGAACCAGGGTCAGCCATGGGGAGCCCAGCCAACAATGTAACCACTGCCAGCTGAATTCCACGTGGCCGACTGCACGTTGGAGTCCCAGACCCAGTGTCTTGAGAAACATGTTGGACACACATGACCACAATCCTGAGACTACCCAGCACTTTAACCCCGGGGACACCTGCTGGCCGGCATTTATTTCTTTAATATTATATATATGTTTATCATTAGACCCATTAGGCACTATGTTATGTACCATGAGTGCTGAAACTTGACTCCTTCCCCCCCATTCTAGCCCACTGCCTGGAGCATAGGAGACGTTTATTAACTATTTGTTGAATGAATGATGAACACTTGTCATAACTGAACAGGGCTATGACAATGCTGAGGGCTGGAATGCTACCAAAGTGATAAGCGCAGTGATGCAACTAAACTGACTGAACGAGCTAGGGGAAGCCTCCCAGATAAAATGACATCTAAACTGGAACCGGAAGGAAAGAGAGGTAAGATTACAGGTACAGAGAACCTCCCAGGCGCTGGGCAGCCAAGATGGCGTCCAGCACTTGCCGCCACACTCAATATGGCGACGAGAGAAAGGTTCTGAAGGAAATCAC